CGAGTACTACAAAACTGGCTTCCTCTTCTCTGGTTCCCCATGCATGTTTTCTCTGACGAGCTCTGGTTTTTGGTTCTCAGTAGTGACCATGAATGTAGCTACTTATTGAGGTTGTTGGGAACAGTTGTGGTTATAATGTCTTCCAGCTGCTGGGGGGGAAGGATCTGTGATAACGCTCCCTGGTGCATTTAGGGAGCAGCAGACTGTCGCTGAAGGAGCTGTCCAGTTCAGCACCAGCTTCATGCATGGGGTTGAGAAAAGATGTTAATTTAGTAAGGATCGTTTTGTTTCCCACCTAAACTAAAGTAAATCCAGGGAAACATCATTAGAAGCAGCAGAGGCTGTAAATGTTTGGGTATTTGTTGTATTTCTTCCTCGTTTGCTTCAGTGTTTTTTCTGTTCCCGCCCCCTTCAGGCGGAGCGTGGATCTACGGATGTGAGGTGTGTGTGTGTTGGTGTGTGTGTGTGTGAAACAGGCCAGTAAGAGAGGGAAAAATGTCAGCGAGGATGATAAGGAAGAGAGCGAGGCGGGGGGAGAGTTGGGATAAAGGTGTGTGATAGAATTGGAAGATCAAAGCCCTCTGTCACAGCGTGACTGAGCCCAGGGGCGTAATGGGTGAGACGGGGCACGCACACACTGCCGCGGACACACACACCTGCAGACGCACACACTCCCGGCTGGTATTTGACTCTGAGTGTGATTGATACCGGGCTAGATTTGGAGAATCACTGTCATTCGTCTCTCCGCAGATCAAACAGCCACATAATCTCCCATAAAGGAAAGAGAGATGGAGGGAATAAAAAAGGGACATAAGAGGGAGAGGGTTCAGGAGGGCGAGAGAGGTGACAAAGCCTTCTCAGCGCTAAAGTGTTTTCTTGTTTTTCCATAAAAGAAGATCTGCCTGCTGAAAACACATCCATCATACACTTTATTGAACTGCTTCTTTGTGCACATCAGAGAGAAAAATGGGAGTCTAAGAGAGAACATTAGGCGGCATTTACGCCGCAGATAAGAGACGACTTCATCCTGATCGTATCTGAGGCAAGGAAGTGGAGCAAACTGCTTGGTTTTTAAGCATATTTCAACCATTGGCTCGATAGTTCAGACCTGACTGCAGCTGGAGCAGTGGAGGCTTCTGGTCAGCGCTGCCAAGGCTCACCGCCCAGGGCGCCATATCAGCAGGGGGGGGGGCAACTTCCTGCCGGACACAAATGTCCTTATGATGGAGGGTCTGGCTGGGATTCCATACCATGATTTCTGTAATAATTCAGTATGTTTTGTCTTTCAATATAATTATAACAAACTAAGACGGACCTGCATGGGCAGTTCTGCAGAAAAATTATAATTGATATTAATTGATTAAAATGAACAATGTAAAATACTGACACTTCCTATTAGGGGAGGGGCTTATACAAGCTCCTCCCCTAACAGGAGTCACTTAGCACAGATGTTCATTAATGAGGAAAAGCTTTATGAACAGCAAAGGCTGCAACTGAGCAACACAAGCAGTTCTATTCCTTTTTTTTCTTTTTTTTTTGAGTTTTTGCAGCACTACACTGCAAAAAATGAAAATCTAAGTGAGTATTTTTTTCATAAATAAGTACACTTTTTCTCGAATTGAGGACGAAAGTGAGACACTTTGCCAATGGAACAAGACAATTTACATTTGAAATAAGAAAAAACTATTGCATTGTCTTATTTCAAGTTCATATTATCTAATCATCTTATTTTAAGAGTAAAGATACAAATTTCATTCGCAAATCATCTTATTTACCTACTCAAATTAAGGGTAAATTCACTTAATTTAAGAAATTTTGACTTATTTCTAGATCGTTTTTGCAGTGAAGTGGCTCGTTTTTTCGACAGTAGGCTGACAGGAAAGGGAGTATGAGAGAGAGGGAGAGACATGCAGGAAAGGACCACAGGCCGGATTCGAATAAAGGTCGCCCGCATCGATGACTAAGGCCTCCATACATGGGTCGTGCACACCAACCACTGTGCCACCTGCACGCCCAAGCAATTCTATTCTGAAGAAAAGACTCTCAGAAAACCTAAAGAACAAACGATGGAGACCAGTTCAAACAGATGCTGTTCATTTTGGCTTAGAGCAGGAAAACAGAAACGAATTCAAGGTTTGTTCATCATGTAAGGAAACAAGCTCCTTCACTGACCGGCAGCCTGGACAGAATAAATACGATGAGTTTGAGGCCAACATGTTCAAATGTTAGATAAAGAGTGGAGGAGTTACAAACATAAAGCTCAATGAGCTCAGAAGCAGAATAATAATTTCCAGTAACTAGAAGACCTCAAAGAATCATCTTAAAACAAAATAAACCAGAAATACTTTAAACGTAAGCCGGGGATACACTGTATGATTTTTTTGCCCCTTTCGGGACATTTTTTTCAATTGGCCCGACTTTTAGCCAGATCGTGTAGTGTACAGGGGGTAATGAGGGGCAATCAGCCTCTCACGACCATCTCTCGATCAGGAATCGGGAGAAAATCAAACATGTTTGAAGTTCACTTGGCCATCTTGGGCAAATCGCTCAGTGCACAAACAAGGATGATTCTTCTTCTTCCCCTCAGATGAAAACACATCCTCATGGCGGGGTTCCAGTGAAATGGAGTTCTTTCTATGAAATCGATAGACCGTAGTAGCCACATTTGCTCAGCCATGTCTTTGTCCAAATATGTCTTTTCTTTTTAGGACTTTCAGCACAACATTTCACAAGTCGCCAAGGCAGCGCGTTTCACTCTAGCGAGCTTCATATTCTTCTTCTACTCATTTGGCTTCCAGGTAGACGAGTCTGAGTAGCGCCATCTAACTGCGGAGCTGAGTCACACGTGCTTTTTAAACGTACAGTGTGAGAACATGGATTATGAGCTGAAAAAAATCGTACAATGTATGCCTGGCTTAACTAAACCAGACTTCAGATTAAACATCAGATCGAAGCTTAAAAGTGGTTTCCTGGCCTGAAGGTGAAGACAGAGATTCCCCTTAAAAAGTAGCAGCAGGTTTGATTGGTTGAAATAAAACCAGAATGAACCAAAGAATAATGAATTGTTTGAACTCTTAACATAATTTATGTGAATGAAACTGATAAATGTGGTTCTGAACGTTTTGTTTCTAAGCCAGTTGTTTATGTTGTCCTCCGTCTGCATCGTTTTTCTGATTTCTACATTTTGTTGCTTCGGGTGTTTTTGCCCTTCATCTCCGCGTCCTTGACCGTCATCATCCTCTTTGTCTTCTTCTTCCTCTTGTATTTTAGCATCTCTAAGCTGCTTTTATGATCGCTCTAGCGGACCCCGTTTGATTCCACGCCTTCTGCCCTCCGGACTGAAGTGTTTACGAGAAAGTGGAGCGTTTGCTTGCATTGACATTTGCCTCTGAATGATATTCAGATTTAATTTGCACATGAGGGAGCTGAAGCCTTCTGCAGCTCTGTATTTATGCATGTGTCAAGGTGATATTTAATGTTTTCCTTCTGTCTGCCCCTCTTTTGTCTCCACAGATGCATCACCCTATTCAGATGAAACCTGCAGACAGTGAGAAATCTAATGGTGAGTGGCCACAAGGACACAGTGTCGCACACACACGCATCGGGGGCCATCTTTGAATTCGCTTGGTTATAGCTACTTCACTGGACTTGCAGAGAGAATGGGGAAAGAAAAGATGGGAGCAGAGATGCTGAAATGCTGATATTTCCATATAAATATATTTTTTTCTCCTTTGGAAGGAGGTGAGTGAAAAGTTGAATTGTCGTATCCTGATGATGTACCAGTGTAGCTCCCAGTACAAAACTGCTGCCTCCAAGCTCACTATTACACCTTACAGTGTCTGTTTTGGACAAACATAGGCAGTTCACTTCTTCCCTCTCCCAAACTATGTATTCAGATCCGGTTCTGAGGAGGTTTCCTCTGCAGAGCATTTCCCTGAGTTCCTCATTACTCCAAGAAGGCAGCCACAAGACCCTATGTCCTCCGGCAGTCTAAGCCTATAGCAGCATAAATATAGACATAGCTTAGGATAACCTGAGCCTCTCTAACTATAAGCCTTATCAAAAAGGAAAGTTCTAAGCCTTGTTTGGCAAATATTTTCTCAAGAATTTTAGATCAGAAAGTTACATTGGATATAGGTCTATAATTGACCAAGTCATCTGGGTCAAGAAACGGTTTCTTAATTAAAGGTTTAATTTCAGCAACCTTAAAAGGCTGAGGTTCATATCCCTGTAACAGGGATATATTAATCACATTTAAAATGGAGGAGGAGAGTAAAGGGAATACTTCCTTAAATAACCTGGTTGGAACTGGATCTAACATCCAAGTTGAAGGCTTAGATGAAGATATTACTTTTGCTAACTCTGAAAGTTCAACTGGATCAAAGCAGTCTAAACCCGGTTCAGATTCTATGGCTACCTCAGATGCTGCCTCACCCTCCAGAGATAGACCAGTCGTAGTTAGAGGAGTGCTAATGATCTTATTTTTTAATAAGATCAATCTTATTTAGAAAGAATCCCAGAAAATCATTACTGCTAAGAGCAGGTGGAGTGGATGGTTCAACAGAGCTATGGCTCTGGGTGAGTTTGGAAACTGAATTAAAAAGATTTCTAGGATTATTCTTAATCTCCACTTTTAATGAGGAGAAATATGCTGCTTTTGCTTTACAAATGGTCATCTTACAAAGCAGTAAAATATTTTTCCAGACTAGGTAGGATTCCCGTAGAGCGCCATTTTCTCTCCAGTTTCCTAGTATTCTGCTTCAGAGTGCGCAGCTCTGCATTAAACCCGGGAGCCAGCTTTCTATTCTATAAAGTGTTTCTCTTTCATGGGAGCCTCGTTGTCTAAGGCAGTATGCAGAGAAGTAGCAACACCATTAACAAACCCAATGATTTATGAATCAGAATAAATTAAACTCAGTGATCAGAAGTATGGAACCCTGCAGGAGGACGGTCTTGAGAAGTTAAAGGCAGGCTCAGGTTTTGGTGATAATTTAGTAGAACCATCGTTTTTCAGATGTTCCAGTTGCTGCTTAGATCCTCTCCAGACCTGATCTCCTTCAAAATTCCGTTTTCAAATCTTCCTACACATTCAACCATGAATTTGCCATGATCTACTGTAAGCCATTTATGGTATATCCTGCTGGATTTTCCATAAACTATGGCCTGCATCCACACAGCGTCATGCAGCCACCACCATGTTTCGCTCTGGGGTCAGAAGTCCTTTTGAAGAGTTTTTTCCTTGAAGGCCAGATTTGGAGACATCATAACTAATAGTTTTAATGGTACTAATGACATACAACTCTAATAGATGTTGTGTAGTGGGCTTAGGAAAAAAGATAAATTGCATTAGCATAAAGAAATGTCTGGGAATATTTAACTCTAAGAAGAAGGTTCCCAGTACTGCACCCTGTGGTGCCCCACATGCAACACCCTGGATCCAGGATTATGTTTCTGCTGAATCCCCTGTTTCTTCGACCTGAGAAGATATTCTGTCCTCCAATGGTTTCTGGGCTCCATCCTGCACCGTCCTTAAACAAACAAGGCCCGCTGTGCCGTCACGGTCACACAAACACAGGAGGGAAAATAAGTGAAATAGCAGAAATAGTCAACTGAAAAGCTCTGAGACCTTCAGAAACTCTGAAGAAGCCCCGGCTTCTTGGAAGGAAATCATAAAGTCATTAACGACGGTTTAACGAGACCTTCAACAGATGCAGAGAACAAACAAACCCTCATTTTTCTGATAATTTTATTTCTGTTGATTCCAAACCTATTTCTGCCTCAAGTTTAACCTTCAAGTTCTCCTTTCAATACTTCTTATTACTAATGAGCCGAAAGACACCTTCTAGATTAAAAGCATCTAACATATGAGACTGAAAGGTATTTACATGCAACCATCTTTATGTCGTCTGGTTAAAGCGGTTTTCACCTCGTCTCTCTGCTGCTCGGACATAGAATTTGATTAATGAGGGAAAAGGAAAAACTCATGACTAGCCTCACCAGAACAGATGTATGATTACTTCTATAACCCTTATGAACTTATTGGTAAAAAAAAATAGATATCAGTGACAGAAAGCAGAAATTTGGCCAATTAAAGCTAATTTATTTGCATGGCTAAGTGGAGAAAATGTGAGTTTCTCTAATTTTGAGGAAATGACCCTTAAAGCTGAGTAATGGAGCAGAGCAGGATAATAGATGCTGCAAAACCATCACTGGAAATAAAGGGGGTCATTTTAACCCAAGAGCCTGATTTTCTGTCAGGCTTTAACACAAAGATGCTACATTTGGTCCACGGGCGGTTTATCTGCTGGGGAGTACTATCCTTTAAATAGAACAGAAATGATCTTTATTGCCCCTCAGTAAACATTTAAAAACAAAAAGAGACTCTACACTAATGGCGCATTTACATAAGACAAAAATACAGAGTAGTTATTAAAAATAATGATTTCAGAATGAAAGAAAAATTGAAACCAAATGGGGGGCAGGGGGAAAAGAAAGCTTTTTCTGTTTCTGCTCTTTGTTGCTTTCCTCGTAGGGTTGAGCCCTCGGCGTGTTCGTTAATGTTCTTTACTGGTCCATGTTTTACCTGTATTCATGTTTTTCCAACCAAAACTGCCATCATTTGTATCAGGTAGAAAGTACCACTGGTTCTTGCACCCTGCCAGGCAGACCAGCTCCAGGCCAGCTCCCAGTCAGTCACCGTCATAACAACAACATGAAATCTTCAAGAATAATCCAACATCAAACAGAAGTAATATTTCAATAAAGTGTCATTAAGCCAAAATTAAACAAGATAATACAACTAATTGGCAAGAAACAAATTTTTTTTTTATCATACCAGTTCATATTCTTTTGTTTTTGCTGTGAAACTTTATACTCAGGTTCCAGTTCAATAATATTTATGAAATAGATTGAAATATATTTCATATTTAAGAAAAAGGAAACATTTTTGTTGACTTCTAAATGCACAGAGCTGATAGTTTAAAATTTAGGCTGTGGCCATAAATGTATTTCCCTCCTCTTGCTATCGCTCTACCATACATAGCTTTAGCTTAAATCATCATAAGCTAGGCTATTTGCACAGCAGCTAACTGATAAAAACAATGCGTATTTTGGGAAAAGTGGTTAAAAATCACATTTTTTGTTCCAACATTGTTCTCTTTGAGCACTTGGTGTGATAAATGATTTTAAGACGTTGCTGCAGTTTCCTCCATTGAGTCTTTTGCTCAATGAAACATGAAGCTGTACTGTAGCTAAGGCTAGCCCCACCTGTTGGGGCTAGCAGGAGCTCCCTTTGGGGCTGTCATGGTCTGTTAATAACTAAAACAATGCATTTTATCTCAATAATTTAGACCACTCTTCCCATAGAGGAAGCTTTTTCAACTTAAAATGTCAAAAACAGTGTTAAGTTCCAGGCTTTATGGATTCGACCTAAACAAACCCTTTTTTTTAGCTTAGCCTGGCTTCAATTCGCATATTTTCTAAGCCAAAACAAGGCGTCCCTTAGCAAAAATTAGTTTATTCAAGTATACTTAAAGTGCACTAATTTCAAACTTAAAATCAAGCAGTGCACTTAGAGTTTCCGCATTCTAAACTATATTTCATATACTTAACAATAGGATAGTCAAGTGCACTTGAATTTAGTTCGTAGAAGTATTACTTTAGTAATACTTCAAGTACACTAAAAGTACCGTGTTCGATTTACTTTCTACACTTAATCTTATACTTAAGTATTCTTAATAGAATTTACTTCAAGTATACTACTTTTTGCTAAGGGTTTGTTTTAGGTCCACAAAACCTTAAACTCAACTCTATTTCTGACATTTTTATTGAAAAAGCTTCCTGGATGGGAAGCGTAACGTCTTCAAACTTGGAAACAATCTCCAGTCTGCTTTCTGACTTCCTGGGATCTAAAGGTTAATTAATGGCATCCCTACTTACAGCTTCATTCAGCCCTAAAATTAATCTGATCTAGATTACCACAGTCATTAAATCTGAATCTAAAATTTGACTAAACATGTTTCATTTTCTACAAACATAAACTGCCTGAAACTTTTATATCAATGGAGACAATTTTTTTTATCTGTTATTTTTGAACATCTGAGGGATAAATGATGCTAATGACCATCTCTGACCGATCCATCAGAATAATTCCTCGCAACATATTCTCATTATCAGTTCGTATGAAATCGTACGAAAAGTTCTGCACAGTATTTCGTACGTTTTGGACGTTTTTCCTCGAAAAAACAGATCTTTGCGCATGCGCAGGCAGACAGACGAGAAAAGCAGATCCGCGGACGGACGTAAAACTGGGAAAAACAGTGCAATAATTACTTCTTGATGTCTCTAACTAGGTTGCTTGCTGTTTTGTATCTTAGGGTTAGGGTCAGGGTTAGGGTTAATTGTATGTTAAATTCTATGTTATTGAATGGTGCGTAAGATGCGCATGCGCAAGGATATCTTGTCTCCAGGCAAGACGTAAAAATACGACGAAATACGACGAAAAAAACGTCCAAAACGTATGAAATTACTGTGCAGAACTTTTCGTACGATTTCATACGAACTGATAATGAGAATACACTGTTCCTCTCTTCTCTACGCCTCTAATTGACATTAGATCCATCATGCATCCTAAATAACATCAAATGGCAGATTTAACCAGGAGAAAATCCACAGGAAGGCAATCCCTCACACTAAGCATGCTTGTAGCGACAGTGGAGAGGAAAAACTCCCTT